AGAGCTCAGAGCCCCTGGCAGGGCCTGGAGGGGCTCCAGGAGAGCTGCAGAGGGACTGGGGACAAGGATGGAGGGACAGGAGCCAGGGAATGGCTCCCAGTGCCAGAGGGCAGGGCTGGCTGGGAGATTGGGAATTGGGAATTGTTCCTGGCAGGGAGGTGAGGCCCTGGTTCTGTTCTGTCCCTCCCATCTCAGGATTCATTTGCCATGGGGAGGTCTCAGCTCCTTCCCCTCGTGCTCACATTCCTCTTTGGTTTCTCCCAAAGACTTCAGTGGGGCAGGACTGTCCATGCAGGGGTAGAGCAGGGAAGAAGCATTTATTGGTGTTCGTTTTAGCCCAGCCCTGATGGTGCTCTGCAGGTCAGACTGATCTGAGCTCTCTGCGTGGTCACATTCAGAGGGACACCGGGAATTCCTCGTGGAAGCTGTGGAGGTGTAGGAGCTGGGGTGACAGGGGGCTTGGACCAGGAATTGCCCTTTCTGAAGAGGTGACTGGGCCCCAGGGATCTCCTTAGGCACAATCCAGCCAAATTCTCCAGGTGTGCTGCAGCTTTGTTAGAAGTTAATTAGCAATTAGCATATTTGGCATACGACACAGTAGGAAACAGCCTTTGATTTCAGAATCAGCGAGGCTCCAGATTTACACCTGATATTGGGAATTAGAAATTGTTCCCTGGAGGGGTGGTGAGGGCCACAGGGTGCCCAGAGCAGCTGGGGCTGCCCCTGGATCCCTGGCAGTGCCCAAGAATCCCTGGATCTGTCCTGTCCCTGGATCCCTGGCAGTGCCCGGGAGTCCCTGGATCTGTCCTGTCCCTGGATCCCTGGCAGTGCCCGGGAGTCCCTGGATCTGTCCTGCCCCTGTATCCCTGGCAGTGCCCAAGAATCCCTGGATCTGTCCTGCCCCTGGATCCCTGGCAGTGCCCAAGGCCAGGCTGGACACTGGAGCTGGGAGAGCCTGGCACAGTGGGCAGACCCCAGCTGTGCTCAGCTTTGCTGGGGAATTCTGAGCGTGTCCAGGGAGGAATATTGTGAGAACCTGTCAGCTGGAACTGCTGCCTTACCATCAGCTTCACCTGAGGGTTAATGGAACCAAAACTCCCTGCTGTGCCCTCAAAATCCTGCCCAGGTGCTGAGTGCTGGAGGAGCTGGGGAGGCCCCGGTGAAATGGGATGTTCCAGGTTTACCAGAAATCCACTGGAACTTTTCTTTTCCTTGTGCTTGCCCCTGTGTGCCAGTCTTCCACCCCGTGGAGTGCTCGTACTGCCACTGTGAGAGCATGATGGGCTTCCGGTACCGCTGCCAGCAGTGCCACAACTACCAGCTGTGCCAGTCCTGCTTCTGGAGGGGCCACGCCAGCGGCCCCCACAGCAACCAGCACCAGATGAAGGAGCACTCCTCCTGGGTAAGGCCTGCCCCTGGGCAGGGGCACTGCTGGTGGGTCAGGGGCACTGCTGGTGGGTCAGGGACACTGCTGGTGGGTCAGGGGCACTCCTCCTAGGCAGGGACACTGCTGGTGGGTCAGGGGCACTCCTGGTGGGTCAGGGGCACTGCTGGTGGGTCAGGACACTCCTGGTGGGTCAGGGGCACTGCTCGTGGGTCAGGG